TATAACCCCACTTACAACTACCCATTAACCTCCAAGCGACCCTCGGCTCAGGAACTCTGACGCAGCTGGAAAAGCTCGAGCGCGCTCACCGTCAGAGTCGAGATCTCGGGGCCTATGCCGCTAGGCGTCAGGGTGCCGACCCTGGCCTTTCCTAGTAGTTTAGGGTTTGGGGTTTAGGGATTCAGGGTTTAGGGTTTAGGCTCGGACATTCAGGCGATTGCACAAGTCCTGATGCAAAAAAGGGTTTAGGGTTGAGGGTTAAGGGTTGGGTTTCAAAGTAATGCACCGTTGATGCCTCGACTTGGGGCGCCCCTTTTGCCCCAGAAGTGCACCGTTTTTTTTTCTGAACCTGCGCACCCCTAAGAGTTGGGCGGAGGTCAAGGTAGGCTGCACGGACCGCCGGATTGGCAATTGGGAGGGGGTTGCTTGGAGGTTCATGGGTAGTTATAAGTAGGGTTATAAGTACGGTAACTATAAGTATAACCCATATTAAGGGACTTATAGCCCCACTTATAACTACTCATGAACCTCCAAGTGCTGATGGAGCGAACATATTCTGCGCAAGGGTTTTCCTCGACAAGTTACTAGACTTGGTCAGTTAGGCAGAGACCCACCGCGGTCATTACTCGCAGCGTCTCGTAGCGATTGGGGCCGCTTGCCCCACTGCACTAATTTCCCAGTTGCCCGACGCAGTCTTTGAGCTTTTGCAAGCTTCGACCACATCGCCCCCGAGGTTTGCCAATAGTGTGGGACTCAGACGACTACGCTGCACGTTTCCACACGCGGTTTTTGGCAACTTGATCAGCTCCCACCAAGTATGCGGGAAGTAAAGCTTTCGATGAAGACCCTGTGAATCGTCCAAGCCCCGATGAGGGACCCGTAATAAATGGGAGTTTTTCTGAAATTAAGGGGTACCTTATTTTAGGGTCCTTATAATAAGGATCCCTATTTGAGGAAACCCCCAAATTAATCATTGGGCAGCCTAGGGGCCGTAGGCCTTTCAAATGAGAATCAGAGTCGTACTCTTGCATCGGTCAGAGAAGCAATCCTTTTCTTAAGTTCGCTGGTGTCTGGGCAAAGTGTGTTGGGGGGTGGGGATAGCGGGGAGAGGGCTGGACCACCTAAAGACTTGCAACATGTTTGGCCGTGCTGTTGTGCTGACAGTCTACCCTAAGTGGGAGTTTCCAAAAATTAGGGTACCTTATTCTGGGGGTCCTTATAATAAGGATCCTAAAATTTAGGGTACTATATTAGGGTCCCCTATTTTCGGAAACCCCTAAATATCCGCAGTGGTCATCCAGTGCCAGGAACGAGAGTCGCAGAGGCAGAAGGCCAGGGCCTCAGTGCTGTCCGTTTTCCCAAGTCGGGGAGGCAGAGGAAGAGCGTAGTCATGATACCAATCGCCGTAGAAGGCTACTTGGAGGTTCATGGGTACTTATTTGTGGGGTTAGAAGTCCCCCAATATGGGTTATAATTATAGTTATCCTACTTATAACCCTACTTATAACTACCCATGAACCTCCAAGTAGTCATGACACCAATCGCCGTAGAAGGCTACTGGCACAACCGACCCACGGCTGTACATACAGGTCTCCACAGTGAGAAATCACTGGCTGGCTCAACAGAATCCCTGCATAAGCATATAAGCCTCAGGCGATGCGCACTGATGGCCACTTGTCAAATCACAAGGTCGACAGGTAGCGATTCCGTATCAAAAGATCACCGACATGCTCCAGGTCCAAAGCACCTCGGATGACGAACGCAACGACAGAGAGGACAAGCACCTGCTTTTGCAGAGGGCCCTAAACCCTAAGTTCTAAACCGCAGCCCCAAACGCCTAAAGTGAGTTGTTTGGGACGTGTATGCAAGGCCTGGACCTGTAACAAGTGGGCGCACTGCACGGGAGTTTTGCCTCCGCACACCCAAAACGAGTGACGCTTAATAGGCCTGTGGGTTTTTTTGCTCTCCCTAGCATAGGCTGTGATGGTTGGTGGCTGTTCTGCTCCTTTCTGCAGGGATCACCAACAACTTGTTTTCCTCGTCCTGTTAGTGGTTGTATGTAGGTACATGTCTGTATGTAAGTGTGTTGGTGCATGCGTGTGTATGTATGTATGTATGTATGTATGTATGTATGTATGTATGTATGTATGCATGTGTGTGTATGTGCGTATGTATGTAGGTCGGTCGGTGGGCGGGTGGGTGGGTGGGTGGGTGGGTGGGTGGGTGGGTCGGGGGTAGGTAGGTAGGTAGGTAGGTAGGTAGGTAGGTAGGTAGGTAGGTAGGCATGCCCACAGCTGCGAGCTAGTGTTCGTGTTCGGCAATTTAACTACATAGTATGGCACTGACAGGTGTGTGCTAGCTGCTGGCTATACTACAGTTTCCCTTGCCAGAAAGCTTTTGCAGTGAATCTGTCTTCTTGGGCGGCGGGGTGTGCTGACGGTGCAGCCTTGCCAAGCTGCATCCCAAGCTTTCCTTTGTGCTAAATCTTCTCCCAATTACTCGAAACACTTGGTTGCCTCAGCGACAGATTCGGCGGGATGGTGGCGGCAAGAGTATTAAGCTCGCTTGTCTTGGTGGTGCGATGTTAGCTCCAGTCTTGCTACACGCATGTTCTAGCAATCTGGCTATGGCTGCGTGAGTGTCGACTGTCCAAATTCTGTCGCAAGACTGGTCTGTTGCAGAAAGCTTCATGCATGCAGGTGTTGACTGATTTTCCTAATCTTCATTTGCCCAGGGGTCCGTATTCTCAACATCCATCCAACATCCCAAAAACCAAACGTTTAGGTCCTAAGTAGTTTCCAAGAGCCGCCAAATCAACCCTGGAGTGTCCCAGTGTGAGTACCCTGAGCCCGAGAGCTCCTCCGATCTCCTTGAAGAGCCCAACTTGGAGGTTCAATGGGTAGTTATAAGACCCCTTTAAGGGATCTACAAGAGGGTTCTCTATAAGGGGTATATAAGCGGTCATATTTGGAGGTTCATGGGTAGTTATAAGTGGGAATTATAAGTAGGGTAACCATAATTATAACCCCTATTGGGGGACTCATAACCCCACTTATAACTACCCATGAACCTCCAAGAACAGAGGAGCCGCCGGATGAGGAGTCGGAGTATCAGCCGAGTGACGAGGGCTCGGACTGCGGCACCGACGGCGTAGTGAAGAACCGGCGGAAGGTAAAGGTGCGCGGGAGAAACAGGGGTTTAGGTTGGATACTGCCCCGAAGTGTTAGACGGCCGCGCGGCTGACAGATCTCTGAGTCCGCGAGAGAGAGAGAGGTTGGATACTGCCCCACTCAGTAACAGTTGGATGATATTCATAATAATAGAGATAGGTAAGGCCCTTAATTGTAGCCCTTTTATGGACTGCGACTGTATGGGGGAGTACCCAAGGTTTAGGTAAATTGGGGTCCAGGAGCTAAGGTTCATGATTTCGGGCATCGTGCGGGATCAAGGGGAAGTTATGTTGGGAATTGCTGGTTGTGTGGTTTCGATCCGTTTCGGCAAGAAGGGCGCGGCAATCTTGGAAGCTGGGATGTCGAGTTAGAGACGACTACGTCATTGAGCAGAAGACGGGTAAGTCTTGCAGCCGAATTCTTTCGCAAGATGCTGGTTCCACGGCCTGGACCTACAATTTCCATTCACTCTCAGTGGAAACGAGGGGCTCAGACGAGTGACCGGCTCGCGAGCAGTTAAAACCCCCCGAAGGATCCAACCTTAACCCTAAACCCTAAAACCTAAACCCTAAACCCTAAACCCTAAAACCCCCCGAAGGATCCAACCTGCCCCGGAGCTGCCGCAGGCGAGAAGAGGCAACCCGAAGTCGGCCAGCCGACGTCGAGGTCGGTTTAGGGTTTAGGGTTTAGGGTTTAGGGTTTAGGGTTCGAATCAGCTTCGAGCAAGCTCTGTTATGTTGGAGTTTTGAGGTTCCGAGTTTGGAAGACATTGAGCTGGGATTCTTTGCATCATTCCTTGGGTCGATGCTAGCCACTAGCCTTTACAATTACCTATATTACTTTGGGTTCCTCACTATAATAATAGTAATGGGCCCCAAAACCCTATTCTAATTATTAAGGCTAAGGCAGCCATATTACATACTAGGTCGGAGAGAACCGGGCAGGGAAGTCATGCGAGACTCCGAGGTGGCGAGGCGCAAGATGAAGCCACAACATGAAGCGGTAGCGTTTCAGGGTTCGGGTTGAGGGCTTAGGGTTTAGGGTTTAGGCTTTCATACTGTCTCCTGACAAAGCATGTGTTTAACATTGATGTCTTGGTGGATCCTGACGTGCGGGATTGTGTGCTGTTGGAACTGCCACAAGTGGTCAGGGAGGTTTGGCTTCAACATTCGGTGGTCGTCACGTGGAGTGCCTATCCTAGGGAGTGGACTGCTTGTGTGCTAACGTTTTCGGGCCTCGGCTGAACAACGGCAGAAGAGGCAATGCTGGCAGTCATCAAGTCCGGTTTCAAAAGGGTTTCATGTGGGATGAAAAGATGCCAGACAGTAGAGCTGCCTCAAGACTTTCGGGCTTCGCAAGAGGCTGGAGGGTTCGCAGGTTCTCCTTGTGCCGTGAATCGAAACCCCTTCTTCGTCCTGAGCTGGAAGATTCCGAGCCTAGTCAGACTTTGGGGAGTTGTTTCGGTGGAGTATGGCCAAGGGTTCCTGGAGATTTCACGGAGGTGTGTTGAAGACTCTGTCTCTGTGCTGTGTTGCCTCAGATCCCTGAACACCTGGTTTCTTGTGGACTCAGGTGTCAAAAATTCGCAGGCAAAGTCCAAGTCCAGGCCACGGCCCGCACCATCGAGGACTGTGCAGCTTGTCAGCCTAAGACCCGGACACCTGGTCACCTGCAAGGCATGACTAGTGAAGCGCACCTCGTTTCTACCAGTCGAGACTGTCGAAGCCTGTTTGTACAATTTGTAAGCCTTACAGGAAGTGTAGTGACACTGGAAGATTCATCATCGGCAGACACACTCCGGGAAGCCTTCGCAACGTGGCAAGACATTCAAGTCAAACCATGGCTTTGCTTCGGGCGAGGCTCCGTGCCTGTTGGAGACACTTATTGCTTGAGCCGCACCCGCGAAGCACCCTGATTGTCGGCAAGCGGTCAACTGTGGGACTAAACAAAGGGCGCAAAGCCATGATTCACTCAAAGGTTCCACTGATGAGGAAAGGATTCAAACCACATGCCATGGGATGTGGAAGCCAGAAGGTATTAGCCGAAGACTCGAAGACAAAGCTTTTGATGTCGTAGTCTCTTTGAGAAGGGTTCCCTGAAGTGTAACCTGGTGTCGGGCAGTGACTGATGTCACCCGACCCGGTCTCTTCAGCCGGGCAGAAGCATGCTTTGAAAACGGTCTTAGCAGTCTTAGCAGACCTGGCCGGTTCTTGTCTGTTGTTTCCTCGTGGCTTTTCTCTCTTGCTTCTGCTAGAAACCTGAGCTCTTCTGGTCCATCGTCTTGCAATCGCTCGAGCAGGTTCTGGATTGCAAAGGTCATTCTGGGTGAGTTTGCTGGAACACATCGGAGCAGGCTCGTAGAATCACGTAACTTTAGATTGAGCAGCTAGCTGGTATTCTGTTCCACTTTCAGCTTGGGGTCTTAAGCCGAATGACCTGCAAACCCGAGACACTTGACTCCAACCACTTTCTGCTGTCGTTTTCTGCAGAGGATGCGCTCGCATCGTTTCGAACTAAGACAGCATGCATAAGGCTCATGGTCGACGGTTTGATGGCCATCGTCGGCCCCACATCTTGGAAAGCATTTAGCCGATTTCCCGTTGTCCTGTACACTCGAATAGGCTTGGATGCTTCTGAAGTCCTTCGCTGAGTGGTTCAAGGTTTTAGTCGTGAAGTTTTGTCGGCCTGCGGCGTTTGTAGCTGTAAACGTCGGCTGCATGATATTGCTCGCCGTGCTGCATCTGCAGATGTCAGAACAAGACTTTGATGGCAAATCTGCAGCTTGACTTGAAGACATTTGTGCACGGCCTATTCCCATCAAATGCTAATGTTTCTCTTTTCCTCTCTCGGTTTTCTGCTGGCCTATCGGTCCGATGCGCACTTGGTTCGCTTCCCAGCTCTCTCTCTCTTCGCAGCGTCCAGCGCCGTATCGAGATGAACGCTAACTAACACCAGCTCGCCGACAGCCTGATTCGCTACATCCCTGGTTCCTGCACGGAGAACTTGCCTTGCTGCGTTTGACACGCAGGACCAAGGGCGACCTCCAACTCAGGCGCCTGTGGCCGCTTTAGCTGCTAGCCTTGAGTCATTTCGGGTGCCAAAGGGAAGATGCAAGATGGGGCTTCGAACAAGACAACAAGGTGAAATGCAGCGACACGATGACTGCTGTAGCATAGTCGATCTAGACCTTACAATCCGCCAGATATCACGCAAGGAGCCTCGAAAATAGAGACCTCGGTGCTCAGGATGTAAAGAACCTAGTTATGAAATGGCAGGCCGCAAATACAACAAATAATATAGTCCATATGACGAGAATGGATAAGCACCAGAGGTATCACGCGCTTACCTTGGTCGCTTCACTCATCCATCGGATGGTTGTTGAAGCCCAGGTTCCCTACAACCCTAAGGCTTTCGGCTTCTTGCGAGCTCGCAGATCATAATGCGTTTTTTCTTTTTACATGCGGGCCACGCTCGGAAGATGCTACATGCTCAACCCCTAGACTGCTATGAGGTCTTTGTAAGGACGAAAAGGAGTAATCAGAGTCATCATCGTATAACCATGTAGGATATTTCCCGCAGCCTAGAGAAACCTCCTCTCCAACACCATCGACCCAAAGCTCGGAAGCCCTGGAATCCTGAAGCCTTAAAGCCTTAAGACCCTGTCACCGAAGCATTGCGAAACTTTTGCAGACCTCATAAGTCCTTATAGAATATGGCAATTTTTGGAAAGCCTAGTGGAATCGTTACCCGAAAGCTGGCCACTGCAGGAATCTGCAAGCTGGTATGGCCAGGAAGCCCTTTGCGATAGAGAGGCAGCGCTGGGCTAGGGACTTAGGGCTGCGGTTGAGAATATGGTTTGTTTTTGGGATTCCTGCTGTTGGGTCTCAGTATGATAACTGGAATACCGTAGTCTTGGCTTTGTGCGAATGCACAAGAGGCACATGTGTTCAACATGGGTTTGCACCCCGGCAGATCAGGGGGGCGTGTAGTGTGCTGGACAAAATAGTTAAATAGTCTTGCATTGTGAAAAAGTTGCGAAGGTTCACGGTTCTTGGGATTTCAAATTGGCTTTAACGGAAAGGAATGTGCAAGCAAAGCTTGACAATTTTGCAGGCGTGCCGTGCTCGTACATGACTGCACAAGCCGTGCACCCTGGGCAGGCCCTCCGTGCCACAATCGCTGGTGCCCAGGCTCTGTACGGGTCAGGGTTTAAGTCCTTGGGGTTTTAGCTTTAGGGTTTAATGTAGCAGAGTCTGGGTTCAAAAACAGGGTTTAATGTAGGGGCCCAAATAATAATTACCAATACTGTCTTGGGGGTGTATATTATAATATATCCCAAAACCCTATTCTAAGGAAAAGTGCCCTATATTTGGGTTTGGGGGTTGGGGCTTCAAGAGGCCGAGGCCTGGCTCAAAATCGTCACTGGTGACCATCTTTGCCTCCGTGAGCATGTGGGTGGTTGTCCAAATTAGGTTCCCTTTTAGGGTCCTTTTTATAAGGGTGCCGTACTACATTCGAAGCCCGCAAGGGGACCCTTATTTTGAGAACTACCCATGTATTCTTGTGCTCCCCCAAGCGCTTTGTTATGGTGCTACACTCTGCATGCAATCCGGAGCTTTGTTGATGCTGCACCTGCTGCCAGGCTCAACGCATGCAGAAGACCGTGTCAACCGGTCAGTTTCCAGGAAAGACGCGCCACATTCGTTACAGAATTGAAGTAAGCCGTCTTCTGATGCTCCAAAACGCACACATGGTAGGTGTACACATTTTTTTTTTCGGAACCGTTCCTCCGAGGATTTTGGGCCCTGAACCAGAAGAGAATCCGGTTTCGTGTCTTTGCAGGCGGTTGGAGTAAAGCACTTTCCTGCCAGGGGCTCAGCACGACATGTGACTGTGATGCACCCAAGCTTCATCACAGAAACGGATCTGATAGCGAGCCAACGATTACCCTAAATCCTACACCCTGGTGGCATAGGATCTTTATCGTGGATGTTCGGGAAGCGAATACTCAAAGCCTCAGGTCTTCTTGAACTCTGGCGTCTACTGCCATGCTTGCTCGCAGGTCGGCCGTCTAGACATTATATATATATATATATATTATATGGAAATTATTGTCCAATATATACGATATACTGCAGGACCTACACGATGTATTACATGCCATGCATTATGCATGTGGTTTAATGATGTTTTCTGAGAGCGATGTTATGTTACAGCGTATGGTTCCGGCCATAATATTATCAGAACCTTATGTCGCGATATGTTACTTGCTTCAATTTGTGGTTGACTTTCTTTACTACATCGTTTTACGCTGTAGTAGCTGCGTTTTCCTCTGCTGAGTTTATGGTGTCATGTTGCATTACCTTAACTTGCAATCTGCACCATTCTGTTCTATTGAAATTCTATTGCATGAACGACAAGTCAATTGCTTTGGAATTACATTATACTGTAAGATGTTCTGTTATGTTTCACTACATTGCATTCTTTATATAGGTGTTATTGTGTATATCATGTGATGCTATGCTGTGTCATGAATTAATTTTTGCAGTTGCTATATTCACTATTCTATAATTAATCCAGCATATTGAATAAGAATGTCTGATATTGTGTTGTATTCTCCTATCGTTTTTGTGATATTCGGCCATACAATTATATTGTATACTTTA